TCTCTCGGATAAGCCTAGTTTTATCTATACAATAAGATTATATGCAGATTCTCTTTCTATAAGCGTTTCCCAATCTATAGCCTTTTCCGTATTTCACCAAACGCAAGTTATCGTCTTTTAGGGATAAAAATCTGGTTTATCGTTAGGCCTATGTGTATCTCTCGGTGCTAACCATTCTAAAAGATATCCTTCGGAATGGTGGTTCCTATCTTCATTTAATGAACTTATTTCCTCAAGTTGTCCAAGGAATGGCCCTTAACTCGGTTAGACGTTGAACACACGTGCCATCTTACCATCTACTAGAATATCTTTCATAAAACGTTAGGCACCCTTCCACACATATTAAGTAAGTCAAGCGAAAACTAGTGGTAAACCAGATATTGCGAGTATCTCTCGTGGATCTTATTTGCGTAAGAACAGTCCGTCTTTGCTTTCGTTTACCGCTTTGCTCGAAAGCAAACGATTGCCTCGTTTAACAGGCGTTTAAATAGACCGATTATTTTCGTATAATCAGAGTGTAGTAAACAGTGACGCAGCCAAGACATTGTGTCGTCATATGTCACATTTATTTTACTAAACGCATAGGAGCGATCGTAATTGCAAAAGTTACGTCAAATGTTTAAGTTAGCGTCAGAGGTCTTTTACAATTGTTGTTTATTACCATATATATATATATATATATATATATATATATATATATATATATATATATATATATAGGTATATACGATAACCGTAATGATTTTTCCGACCCAAAGCTGTGCTGTCTTCCCCAGAAGAAGCTTGGGACAATCCTACCCTGTCCTTTAGGGTAGGATTGTCCCAAGCTTGCGAAGAGTAAAAGGTGACCTATGGTTACATTATGTCCATAAATATTGTCAAACAATGCGTTAATATAATTAGCTCCCAAAAAAAAAAACTTTTGAATTGATAAACCGGAAATAAATATTTGCTACGCCACTTCGGAGAACCATACGCTCATCGTTACTGTTTTTCCTTACTTCTTGAGCAAACTGCAACTTGTTGATGTGCTAACGTTTAAGCTACCCAAAACACGCAGGTTTTGGGTAGCTTAAACGTAATTTATGATTCTTCATCTGCCTTATCTAACTCTAAGTGATTATAAAACATCCTTTATTCTAACACCATAACCACAGCTTTTCGTAGAAAGCAAGTTATTTTCTTTTTAACTTCGTTGAGTAACGGATTTCTTCGAATCGGATAATTAGCAGACCATATATTTGGCCCATATAACCGAACCGTGTGAGGCTCTATGGGCCAATATTTTTTCGAGAACGAATCAATCGTAGTCAGCCCGTTTAAATAATGCAATAAAAAAGCCTTTAACGAATATACTGCTATAATTTTTTGATATCCCGTGGCACCGGTTACCTTTATCGAGAGCGTTCAACGGTAGCGAAAAAATCGCTCACAATTTGGTTTATATAATCCGAGATTACCAGTTATACATATATATATATATTTGACGTAAATGACGTTCGTTTGTCTGCTCTCCTAGTGCCAGACAAAAGCTAGTTCCTCGATGGCAAAGTAGTCTCGAATCGGCTAGATCGGCTATTATCCAGTCCCTATACATTAAACAACTTTAAAGTTTATCAGTTGGTGACAGTTTTTCTGTGCGACATAAGTGTACGATGTCACGGATTGTTTCGGCAATCTCTTATAAAAGACGAACTCTCTCTGAAGACAATCAAAGCAAAAAAGTTTACAGGTCTTGTTTGCTATTCAGTTCTTTTAAAGCAGCAGACTGTCTTTAGTTCTTTTCTGCTAAAAAAAATGGGTAGGAAGAATTGTTCAATTCAGAGGATCCGTTCATGGTAAATAGAAGCAAATTTTCGGCCAAAACTCATGCTGCGAACACAGTGTTCGGTGAAGTAGGCGTCATATTGTCGAGCTTCATCCAGTAAGGCAGACGAACCATTCAAGAAGTTCACCTACATGTTCTACAAATTGTTATATAACTATAGATAGCTGAAGTGCATGAAGACGTGTGCTGAAGTGTCGCCATAAGTTTGCTAGCAACATGGCGCACCAGCTTATACAGTCGGCCAGTACAGGCTCGGCTGCTTAAAAATATAAACATGTCCTGCAATGACCGTTGACGATTTGAACTCGTTGGGTTACAATCTATTACGACGTTATTGAGTGAAAGTCCATGACATGGAAATCTCGTCATGACAACGCCAACTAACTCACTCGTGCTACCAAAAAGGCGTTTAGAAAATTGCAAAAGGGGCACTTGAATCGACCGTGTGCGGGGCTTTAGAGCTGAAATGTGGCTGTTATTCCACTAAATGAAAATCATAATGAATAAACGTAATCGTCTGGAATAGCACCTTTAGAACATAAGAAAATTTTCGTGGACATGTCTGTCTATGCTTAGATACAGTTTTAGACTCAAGGCGTAAGATCAGTTTTAATTTAGGTGCCGTACCCCGTAGATATTTGAGGTGAAAAGCGTTTAATAATGCGCTTTACATAAAAAGGGGCCACAGTCGACCGAGGACAGTTAGAATGGCACAGGCTTTAAGCTTAACTTCTCTCACACAACAAAGCCTAAGTCTCAACGGCCCGGAAAGCCCAGCCGCAGCGACTGTCAAAGGGTGCGTTTAACACAAAACAAATGAGACAGCCTTGCGGCGCGTCACTAGCACGTGTGATATGAAGCAAACGGGTTACCGTTAAGTCTCTGCAACCGCAGTCGATAATGCTTGCTGGCATGAAGCTTTTGCAATGGAATTCTTGGAAGATTTTTGCCTCCTCTACAGTTCGCTAAAACGTCGCTGTTACCCCGTTCATATGCCTATATGGGGCGTACGGATATTACCATGCTTCAAACATTGTTGTTACAGCAACAATTTTTTGCAAAAAATATCCATATGTCCATTCGTTTGTTATCTAGCACTTTATCTATCTGAATTTCGGCGCGACGTTATTGATTACGCATCCGTTTGATAGCCAGCTGTTATCGATTTTTTCTTCTCTTGTAACCTGTTGAATTTTTCAGTATAAAAAAAGTTGATTTTGTATTATTTTTGATAAAACGACTAATTTCATATTTTGTCTGCTACTTAATGTTCTACACAATGAACGCAATGAATCGTTTGTATTCTCTGGAGAATTTATTTGAATGTTCGATATAAGAAATACTGTGCAGTCAGCAGGATTATATATATATATATATATATATACTATTACGTATCCGTATGCTAGCATACAGTTATGTCGTTGATGGCCAATGGCGGCGAGGGTCATTATTCCGCGAATACGTAAGCTTTAAAAATAGAATAAAATAAATATAGGAACAATCGTACCGGTAGTGAGATGCTTTTTCTACTATACGCCGTCTGCATAAACGGCCGGAACTATAACTGACCACCCTCATGTCTTGACAATAACTATCTTAAACACCGATGAGTACATAAGCCATATTCCGAATACAGTATAGCGGGACGAACGTATACAGGTTAGGTTGACGTCCTATTGCCCTGGTTCCACTGAAATGTAAAGAATGGAGCTTGTACCTTTCATAAACGAAAGGAAGCTAGCCTTTCTTCCCCTGCGGAAATACGACTTTTATCGTTTTGGCTGACTGACACGCAAAAAGCTGACTGTGAACACGAAAAAGGTACTCGATCCGAAAGATACGTAGTCTGTGCTAAAAAAAAAGCTGATCAACTCATAACCTCTACGATATACAGGGGGTCACTTGTAACCAGACTTATTTTTGTAGACCGACGAAATCGGTCTATCTAAAATCAGTTTTACATCGATAATTAGCCACAAAAAATACATGTCCTCCGACATGCGTTGATCAACAACATTGCCTGCTTGTCATCCCATCGGCTACGATCTTATCTCTCATTTCCGTTAAATCAGCTAGAATTATACGGTAGTCAATGAACTAAGAGGCTTACTACAATACGATATATAAACGAGATCTTTCACTGATGGCTCTTAACTTATTGTCTAGCAACTTCCCTTTCACCTGGATGCCCCTATACAGAAAGGGGTCGTATATGACTGCGATGGGGGTGAAGGCGGTGGCAACCGTGACAACAGCAAAAACAACAACAAGAGACGTAACGTAAACGATGGTATTAAAATGAGACAAACAAGACGCAGAACGTCGTCGCCGTTCTTGGCTAAGGCACAGCAGCCATGCGTCATTGTTGCCGACACGTATCGTTTTCGTGTTCGCACGCTATGACGGAATCAGTGTCAGTCGGTAGCCAGAAAGTGGGCAACAGCAGCAGTTGCACAATGTGTCGCACGACAGAACTAAACTTCCACTGAGAGAACCGAAAAAAAGAAGCCTGTAATGTGTGCGAAGGTCACTGTCGTCAGAGGAGGCAGAACATGGCTAGATTCGAGCGTAAAAGATGAATCAGCGGGCAGAAGCCCTGTTCACTACCGACGACGAGGAGGCGTCAATTGGGGGATGGATGGGCGGAGTGGCGCATAATGAACGAGCCTGGTAGCCACATAACCTTGACGTAGTTCCTGATGTATATGAGCCAATGTCACAACGTGGTTGTAGTAAACGAAAATGATAATTCCATATCCGTGATGGTGGATGCACGTAAGGTGTTTGTAAGACACATGATTTTAGAAATCGTCAACAGCCCATGTACTGCCTTCATAAGCGCTGTATTTTATTATAGTTAAACAACAGTAAAGGCCATGTCCAAAGGTACTCCCCTCATATTATTGCGATTTATCAAGGATCCGGCGAGATGAAGAATAGTTATGGGTAGTTTTCAAATGGAACATACCAGTTGTCACCCCGAACATTACTGTAGATATCCTAATAGACAAAAGCTGCCTGCCGATTTCCGGTCACTAAGTTTAGACTCTCATGAAGATCATTACAAACATTGTTTATCACAATAGGCTCCGTTATATTAATAATCCGAAGAGTAATCTGGACTAACTCATTCGCTCGACGACATTGTGCCATCTATGTTCAATGCACAAACCTGCTTGAAGCCTCTATACATGAGCTGGAGCTCTCTACGGTTGAACTTAGTCAGCTGGCACAGAGTCTCTATGGCCTCCGGCTTGTAGTGTACTGTCGGACCTTCGAGTTCATCGAGTTCGCTGTCTGAAAAGCAAACGACAGGTATACATGAGAATAGTAGCCGCTAATACAAGAAAAATCTATGCCATAGCTGTTCTCATATATTCGTTAGCACTCTCTACGGATGATAACAGGCTTAGCGATCAAGCTAAATTTGGGCAACATGTATCCAAACTCGTTGTATATTCGTTTTCGTATTTTGCCTATATTAACGAAGCAAACATTCTCTCTCTCCGTATATATATATATATATATATATATATATATATATATATGTATATAGAAGGTCCTATAGAAATAAATCACAGCTGAAGCTTCGCAGAGATAGCCGATAGGTTCAGGCTTTTTAGCACAAAAGCATACTATAGTTCAACACAGCCCGACTACGATAGGCTTTAGCAAATTTGATACACTCATAAATCTTTCGCTACTATGATGCTAAAGGGCTTTCAAGCTTAGGAGCTTAGACCGCGGCGTTAATAGTTCAAAACCCAGTTGTAATGGCGAGGACCCCACCTAAAAATTATTGTTATTAATAGGGAGATATCAGTTAGGAGAGGACAGAAGCACATATCGTTAATCCTTTATAAGTTATACCACTGGACATTATCGAATAGGGCGTATGGTAGAAAAGAAAGAACCGCTAACGATTTAACGCCAGTGCTCAGAACAATCGGATAGTGCCATTGACATATTGGTTACCAGGACAGACATAACCCTTAACCATCTCTACCGGCATATGCTTCTGCGTCCATCTTTTCAGTTGTATATGTCTATCACTTTTCATTAACGACCCAGTATTGCCCGATATTTGCAGACTTAGTCGCTAACTGACCCGACTAAACTGAAAAATGTATTGAGAATGGAAGCAACAATATAGTTTGAGTCTGTGATAGCTTATTATCAAGGATTTTGTCTGTCTTCCCTCTAACTTTTAGCCCAGATCTTCATCTATTGCCCCGATAGGATGTCGTAGGTGTCTCTAAGCGCTGTTGTGAACCCATCAATACTGACTTCACTCCCTATCTATAACTTTCTATATATGACATATCCAGACTATCTGATGACATGAGTTCAAGCTGTTTAGCGGAAGGCCCGCATCCAAACCCTAAGTCGTTTTTCTCTGCGTTGTTTGTACTCCTTTCGACAACAGTTAGCTTTTTGTAGATGGGTTGCGGGGTACTATCAGAATTTTGGGGTAACCCCTGAAATGTTTCCTCGATTGTCATTTTTGTTTCGCCGCACATGACTATGGCAAGAAACAAGACCCCAATATTCAATGACGAAAGAACTATCTTGAAGAATATGTATATTTAAAGGAATACACACATTTGAAGTTGTACTTTAATGAGAAACGATGTTGATTGCACGTTGGTTGGAGTGAGCACGCTTTACGTCTAAATAAATTTGGCATTTCAAAATTAATCAAAATCAATTTTGAAGTTTAACGACAGAAAATGATGATTATATTCCTTAGCCGTTTTCACTGCTTCGAAAAGTCTATGTTTCATAACAATTAGTAGAAGAGCTTTTACTGAGGATGGAGTATCGTAAGATACAATAGCAATATTTGAGCGCAGTGGTCTATTTACTCACTTCCTAGTCGCATGCAATGGCATCGGCGGCGGCAGCAGTTGCACTAGCAACAATAACAACAGTTATATCGTCCTTGAAGCGTCTAGTATGCAGGATAAAACAACAATGGTTGTCTTCAGGATCAGTGGAAGATTAATTTCGTCAACAGGCCATGATGCAATTGTGATATCCTCCAGATGAGTGAAACATTACTAACATCCGGTAGAGACAAGGACCTTTGATAAGAAGAGTAGACTCTGTACTGTGACCAGGGGCTTAGCGTTTGATCTAAAATACCAATAAGTGTCAAAAGAGGCTGCATTTCGCTAACCCCGATCGAAGGCAAGATAGAAATAAGCTCATGTGTGTACTATTTGCTTTTCGCTGGAAACGGTTAACTTTGCCTGAAACAGCGTTCTACTAGGTAACTTTAGTTGTCATGTTACATGTCCATTGTTAAATACTGAATATAAATCGCCTAATGAAACGGGTTTACATAGGCTAGCCTTTAATTGAGTCACACACTCGCAGTTTTCAAGTCGAAGTTTTTGACGTACGTCTGCAATACGAAGCAGAAACAGGCCTTTCTAAGGGGACCTGCATTAAGAATGATCTCTTTTTACAAAGAACACGGAAAGAAGTCTTTCTTATTTTCTGGCACTATTATTTTACCATCATAGACATGTAGATATATGTACAGTTACGCCCCGTGCTAATAATAAATTTAATCCTAGATATTTAGCATTAGGCATCACTGCTGATATAGGGATAAGGGGTATGCCAAATTGATTGCCCGTACAAACGCCTGGTTACCACAGCTGGTAGCAACGAGAGGAGAGTGAGCCATTCGAGTCGAGGGACTAATCGAATTGAAAGCGGATAAAGTAGTCAGACAAGCTGCATCAATAACAATTACCATTTTAATTTAAGTGGAACCTCGATCAACTCCTCCCATCCTGGGAAAACTAGTGAACATTTAAGGATCTTCAGAGAATTGTGCGACGTGTATTGAAGCTTTTTCATATTGGCCACCAGCGTACGTCCATAAGCCATAAAGGAGATAGTTCAATGTAAACATTGTCAAAGTTCAAGGCTTGGGAAGCCTAAGGTGCGTGTCTGTTCCCATTCTAACGTTCCGACAACTATGGAGGCGATTAATTATAGGGAAGGCCGGCGTGTGTACGCTTAAGCGTCAATGGCTGTTGTCTCGAAAATGCGTCTTGAAATGGTCTCGAAAACCTAGAAGAAGGATTTCATTTCGGCACACAGCGAGACACATGCCTTCAAAATTTCTTAGGTACATCAGCCACTATTATTGTAGAAAGATAAGTTGTAGAGCATTTGTGACAATTCTACACGTGTATTAATTTACTCAAGTCTTTTACAGTTCATCATTAAGGTCGTTGCTTCTGCTGGAGGGAAACTAGACAACAATATAGAGGTTTACACCCTTACACAAAACAGAAGCATCGCAAATGTTGTTAAAAAGTATAGCGTTTTCGGATGAGTGTCTCTATTCAATGCAGAAGACTTTTGGGTGGATTTCATACGGTTTGCGCGTAAAGATCGGTCAAATATGAGCCACACCGTAGCATCTATTATTATAGGTGGATTGCGCCATAGTTTAAGTTAAACAATAATAGTTAACGTATTTGGCCGCTTTGACCGTTGAAAACTTACATAGCCTACCTCTAGCTCCGTATCGACTTCCGCCGGCGTAGTAATCATTCCGATGTGGTATTTGCATGCCGTTTTACGTAGCTAGGTCAAATATGCAGAGATGAGAAGAGGATGCCCACTTTTTCGTTTCGCCTTTTCGAAAATCAAAATGTCTTTCAGAGAGAGACGAAGTGGCCTCGTAGGTGCCATTGAGACCCTTCTTTATACACGACGTTGGCCTATTCGATAGAAATGTTCCTACAGCGATGAGCCCATCAATTAAAAGAATATTTTCTATCATTTCTCTTGGCGATAAACTTTACAAACTATTTAATGCGTTGTAATTTTTAGATTAAAAATATGCTTGTTTCACTACTGTTATTAGCACAAATATTATAGACAAAGACCATGCTCGGATTTCGTCTGCTTCAAAGAGTTTTCGTCTCTCCTAATGTGTTTCGAGGGAAGCTTATTAAAGTATCTCTTAAGCTTAAATAGAATGAACAATAAATATGACGTTGATCAGACGGCGTTCACAATAATGTTTACCGAAAGGTGGCAATTAAATATGAAACGCAAGAAACGATAATTTCGTATTTCAAAATAGTGATATTTTATCATAATAGGACATGTCGAGACACCTCTTTATTTTCAAGATGCACAGGATGTTAATATTGAAAAAAAAAAATATATGTAAATAATATATTTGTGAATGAAGTCTAAAAGTTAACGGTCTGCTTTCTCCCAGCCCAGAATATCCTGGCCGGACTACGAAGTTTATTGATATGCTCCAAAACCACAGCTTTGATGATGTTTATTTCGACTAAGTGGATGATGATGAAATTTTACGTAAGCATGTCTGCCATGTCAGTGACTGTTCGTAAAGACTTCAGGCGCACCTCATATATATATATATATATATATATCACAAAAATCGAATAAATGCTTTCAGAAGGAAATAAAGCTGAGAAATTTGATTGGTATCGTTTCAAGAGTAAAGCAGCAAGTCGTTTCTAATTTTTCCCCGACGAAACGTTCTTTTACCTCCGATGTAAGGCTAAATTACATTAATAATTGCTTATTTACTGACTATATAGAAAATCTGTGTATATTGGGCGGTTAGAGCAGTGTTCCGGCTAAATTTATGGGACAGTCCCGCCTGACATCGTCATCAGTCGATCGGCTCGTAAGCTATCACCGTAATTATGAGCTGGAAATAAGCCATATTTTAAATAAATGATTATTCACCTGTAAGTATATCGCTAGGATCTTTCCTGCGAGATCTGGTTGACGTTTTATGGTCTGAGGTACCGATAGACTGCATAGCTTTCTACAAAATGTCACTATTAATCATCCGCTTAGGTTAACCTTCATCAGTCTTAACACTGCAATAATATTATCCGTCGATCTTCTGATATCACTCTGGTACACAAATACGTAATTTCCGTGGGCTGCGTATAGCATACATTTATGCACGCTCACTTCCAAAGGGATAAGAGTAATCACATCGAACTTACTTCATCTATTGTTTTGCTTTCCAGATGCCGTTGGCAAAAGACACGGCCTCTGTTTCGCTGTTCAGGTTTGACCGAAGAGAGCAATTCTATATATTTGTGCACATTATAATCGCAGTACTCATTCACAGAACAAATCAACCAACACGACGATTGCCACTTATACGATTGACGCTCAAAGAACCGTTATGCAGACCACAGCGACACGGAGACAAAGTGGAACACAGAGAAGGAAAAAGAGAGCGCTGCAAACCGATGGACAACCCAGCAGCGCCAG